GGGACAAGCGGAAGGAGAGGAGAGGTGGGGCAGTGAGGGGGGACAGGGACAAGGTGCGGTGATGGAGTCAGGGCCAGGGCTGGGGACAGCCCCCATCATCCCCCCACCCGACCCCATCTGAGCACAAAGGGGGCTAAACCCCCCCCGGGAGCAAACTCTGGTGTGGGAGCAGGGACGAAGTGAAAAACAGCAAAACACCCGACGAGGAACGACCCAGCTGCAGGGCGGCAGCACCGGGCCCTGCGGGACGGGGGGGTGGCAGGGCCAGGACCCCCCCCAACCCCTCACCCGTCTCTGCCTGGGCCTGGCCGGGGTCACGGTGTCCCTGGGTATGGAAGGGGGGGCCCCAGGGGGTCAGCCTGGGGGTGTCAGCACCAGCCACCTCATGGTCCCTGACCTCCAGGGACGGGCCCGGGAGCCCTGAGCCTCTGCCCCCAGCACTGCGGGAATGGGGGGGCGCGGCGGGGGGAGCCGACTCCCTGCCCCGGTCCGACGCTGTCCTGTGGCCACCAGGGAACCACCAGGACCCAAAGCCTTGGGAGGGGTCGTTCCTCCCCCACCTACTTTACACCCTGACCCCTGGTTTTCCTGCAGGGGCTGCTGACCGGGGCGGGGGGGGCTCTTGTTATTAAAGACACCCGAAAAGGCAACGGAAACGGCATTGACCCTGGTCGAAGTGGTTAAAAAGCCATCAGGTCCCTGGTGCCGGAGAGCAGCAGAGCATCAGGAGGCCAAGCGGCCTCCCCGGCGGTGGGGGACACGGCGGCGGCAGCCTGGGGACAGCCCCGGCTTTTGCTGGGTCCCATTTTTTTGCCTCCAGAAGCCTGTCTGGGCGCCAGGACGTGGCCTCCCGGGCTCAGGCCACCTGGGACCGGCTGTCTGCAGCAGGGAGGAGTGTGGGTGGCTCCTGCCCTCCGGCCCCGGGTGTAAACCGGTGCAAGTGATGCTGATGGGTGCCCGGCACCCACTCCCGAACCGCCAGGGAAGGGTGCCAGCCCCAGCCCTGGCCCTGGGCGCACACCAGTGTCACCCGCTCCCTTTTTCAGCATCTTCCCCCGGCGCGTCCTCCCGAATCGGAATAAAACGGTGTTACCTGCTGGGCCCAACTTGGCTTTTCCAGGAGTATTTAACTTTGCCGGTCCCTCCTGGGAACCAAACAAGCGGCTCAACCTCACCAATCTCGCAGCTTTGGCAGCCAAAGTTGCCTCTAGTCTTCTTATTTGTCACAGAACCGCCGTGCTAAGGCTCGGGAGAATCTTTATTTAGTGTTGCAGATGTCACCAAGGCACCGCAGATTGGAAATGAGTCCAAAGGATTAAGACGAGGTTATTAATTGGAGGCCTTCCCCTTTAAGAATGATTGACAGTTACTTTCTGGACAAGTAATTGCTCTAAATGTCCCCCCAGCACGGGTCCGGGGGGGCGGCAGCGGACAAAGCCCCGAACTGCCTTCCCCACTCAGATTGTCTCCCCACAAAGGCGTCCTGCTGGAGTTTGCCGTGTAATCCCCTCATTACGGGCGAGGAAAAAGAATTAGAAACAGGGGGAGAGGAGTTAGAAACAGGGGGAGAGGAGAAGAAAGGCCGGCCGGGGGGGGAAGGGGGGAGGATTTCCTTCGGCTGCCGAGGCTCTGCCCCAGGGATGGGGTCCGGGCAGGCGCCCCAAACCTCGGCGGGATGGGGACGCTGTGGTGATGGGTGTTGTCCCCCCCGGTGAGCTCCCGGGGATGCTGCCTGCAGAGCCCAGGCTGGGGGGGACCGGCGATGGGTCCCCACCGGGCGTGGGGACAGGGACAGGGACCAGGCAGGGGGCTGGCTGTGAGGACCACGTGTGGGGACGGGGTCTGGGGACCTGCTGTGGGTCTGCGTGTGGCACCAGGGGTAGGGACCCAACACCCTGAAGAGCCCTGGGGACCTGGGGTGGGGACTGGGGTGGGGACCAGCCCTGGGGCTGCCCACGGGCCCCTGACCGGGGGGGCAGAAACACCGTCTGTCACCTCCCCGCTCCTGCTGTCACCCCGGGGACCCCGGCCCAGGGGACAACAGGAACATCATGATGGGGATCCTGGGGTGCTCGGGGTGCCCGGTGCTGCCCGGACCCCCCAGCTCTGCCAGACAGGTTTGGCCCTTTTCTTCCTCATCTCACTTTTACTTTCTCCCAAAAGCCTCTTCCTGCCACCTGCAAAAGCTGCCGCCCCCGGCCACCGTCTCGGCTTCCTCCCACTCCCTTCCTCTCCTCAACACGGTTCCTCTTTCAGGTGGCAAATGTCACCGCAGGGTTTCTGGAACCCCCCACCCCCCCGTGCCAGGTGGCTGCCGGCCCCACGAGGGTCTGAGCCCTCCCCACCAGGACCCCGCAGCCACTTCTGCAGGTGGTTTGGGCC